ATCCAGAAGCAGTTTTTTGGGCTAATTGATGGATACACCCACACACGGTGGACTTATAAGTGAGATACAGGCAGTAAGAAGGTAGATCTGAGGAAGCCATCATTACGGCGAAACGCGTCATTACGCTACCCACATCATCACGCACGCGGAGAGTAACCCCACCTCCCGGAAGTACCAAGGGATACCTGCAGTTCAATCCTGGGATTCTGGCCACTTACCGAGACCAACTAAGAACCTTGCCCGTTGAAGAAGAAAGGAAGCAGGTCTACTTTGCCTGCTGCTATATTTCACTGCACTCCGGTAATAGCGGTGGTGGTATAATCCCCACCTCAGGATAGGTTTTGGAAAATAAGTAAAATGCCAGGAAAAATAAAATAAAATTGTGTATAAAAAGATAATGGCGCAGAAATATAGCCAAAAATAATTATATAAAATACACAATATTATAAAACCATTAACGGAATGGAATCATTATTCCATTTTGATAAAGCCCTAGTGGTGAAACGCGTTAATGGTTTTATAATATTGTGTATTTTATATAATAAAATGATTTTTGGCTATATTTCTGCGCCATTATCTTTTTATCCACATTTTTATTTTTCCTGGCATTTTACTTATTTTCCAAAACCTATCTTGAGGTGGGGATTATACCACCAACGCTATTACCAGAGTGCAGTGACGCCTGCACTCCATTTATGAGTATATTTTATTTTATCAACTATTACATCATATCAGAGAGCACTATTTGCTGTTTTTATTCTCCTCTTCTCCTGAGAGTTGGACATCATCACCTTCTGGAGGACAAGCATCTACATATCCTATAAGCGGGGATTATTCCGCTGTATGCCTGTTATACCTGAGCTGGCCATAGCTCATCCAAATGTGAGTGTAATATTTATATTCTAATTTATTTAACATTCACTTTATACACTCTGCACGATTGGTCCTCTCTTCTTGTGTCTTCCATATCACGAGACGATCTGAACTACTAGAAACATAGAAGACACTCTACCAGTTGAAACAGTGACTAAGTCACCTTAACCTCTGATATTTATTGGGACTATTTATTTTTTATATTTTTAGTATTTTTATTATTCTCTTTTTGGCGCAGCCTTTCTTTCTTCTTGTTGTAGATTTTAACATAGAGGGTTAGAGGGTTACCCTCTGTGAGGTCGCTGCCTATCTATTGTATTATTAGCTCTAACCTACCTTTTTAATTTCTTCTGTAGAAGCAAAAATATACCTGGATAATGCTGATCAGATTTCAAACTTTTAAAATCAAATCATATTTAGCGGAAAAATATATAATTACATACTGCAGGTGGGATAAAGAATAATATATTTACTGGTAATTTGCCAAGATTAACATATCAAGCTATTATCTAGAGATATTGACATATCTGAATTTCTGGGATAAGTTAATATTAAATAAGCTAATTATCTGAAACAAAACAATTAAAAACTTAGAATTGTTCTTTTGGTTACTGGATGGTAGAGAATAGTTAAGTTGACTATTTAAGAGATTAATCATTGTATATTTTATTTGCAATGCTTAAGTGTGGTTATGTCCCGAACGGTTCCTGGCGAACATCGCTTGTTCGCATTCGCCACGGACGGCGAACATATGCGCTGTTCGGTCCACCCCCTATTCGTCATCATTGAGTAAACTTTGACCCTGTACCTCACAGTCAGCAGACACATTCCAGCCCATCAGCAGCAGACCCTCCCACCTCCTGGACAGCATCCATTTTACATTCATTGTGAAGCTGCATTCTTAGTGAGAGGAGGGACAGTGTAGCTGCTGCTGATTTGATAGGAAAATTGATAGCTAGGCTAGTGTATTCAGTGTCCACTACAGTCCTGAAGGACTCATCCGATCTCTCTGAGCTCACTACCCCCACACCACCCCCAGCCTCACTACCCCCCACACCACCCTCAGCCTCACCACCTCCAGCCTCACTACCCTCCACACCCTCATCCCCCACCACCCCCCACACCACCCACAACCTCACCCCCTCAGCCTCACTTAACCCCACACCCTCCAGCATCACCACCCCCAACCACCTCCACCCCTCACTAACCCCCCACACCCTCAGCATCACCACCCCAACCACCCCTCCACCTCACCACCCCAACCACCCCTCAGCCTCACTACCCCAACCATCACCACCCCAACCCTCACTCACCCCCCACCACCCTCAGCCTCACTACCCCCCACCACCCCTCAGCCTCACTATCACTCCCCCCCACCACCATCACTACCCCCACCCACCCTCAGCCTCACTACACCCCCAACCACCCCCTCACTACCCCACACCACCCTCAGCATCACCACCCCCAACCACCCTCAGCTTCCCCCCCCCCTCAGACTCCCCAGCCCCATCCCCCTCAGGATCCCCCTCCCCCACAGCATCACCACCCCCACCTCAGCATCAACCCTCCCTATCACCCTCCTCCTTCTCACCGTCACCCCCCATACACACAACACACTTCAAGCAGCTACCCCATACACATAGGGTTTCAGACAAAAACGCAAACATGCTCACAGAGACATACATTCACACACAAGGATACTCTCTGTCAGACACACTCTCAGGCACGCACAGGTAAACTGTGCATCAATGTGTATATGTGACACTTTTTTTGTTAGTGGGGCCTCATGTTTGAGTTTCGCCTAAGGCTCATAAAGTCTAGAGCAGCCTCTGGGTGTCCCAATAGCTTGCATTTAAAAAAAACAAAACTTTTTGACTGTAATATAATAGCAGTCAGTTTCCTTCACGTGTGTGCATTTCAGGGCCTGCCAGGGCACAGTGTCACACCAGTGCAACTCATATCTGGTGTAACAGTAGTGTACATTTAAAAAAAAACAAATACAATTTTGACTGTAATAGATTGAATAGCAGTTAGTTGTCTGCAAGCGTGTGTGTCAGGCCTACAGCGTCTACTCTGCCAACTTGTGTCACTGCACAATGCCACTCATATCTGTGGTCACAGTAGCTTGCACACATAGTACCACTAACTGAAAAAAAAAAAAATGACAGGCAGAGGCAGGCCACCCCGCAGGGGCCATCGTGGTCGTGGTGCTGTGATTCCCTTTGGCCCTAGAATAATGCCCAGTTTTCAGAGGCCACATACCCTGAACTTGAAAAGTTCTGAGGACATAGTTGACTGGCTAACACAGGACACCCAATCTTCTACAGCTTCCGCTCGGAACCTTGACGCACCATCCTCCTCCAGCTTAGCTTTGGGTGGGGAGGCTGGTGGGGGGGGTGGGAAGGCTGAGGGTGGTGAGGCTGAGGGTGGTGAGGCTGGAGGGGGAGTGGGGAGGCTGGTGGGGGGAGGCTGAGGGTGGTGAGGCTGGTGGGGGGGTGGGGAGGCTGGTGGGGGGAGGCTGAGGGTGGTGAGGGAGCCTACCTTCTCTTCCCTGGTGGTCCAGTGGCCACTTCTTCTGGTCTGCAGCTCCGCAGAGCTGCAGACCGTGTAATATCGCAAGACCATCAGAGCGTTGCCATGGTAACCTGCGGCAACACTCTGGCCAATTCTCACGAAACACATGGTCTGCAGCTCTGCTCACTGCAGAGCTGCAGACCTGTGTCTGCGATGGTGGCCGGGCAGCCTGGAGGGGCCTCGCACCCGGCGGCATACCAGGCACGCCGCCGGACCCCCTCCTGGTGTCAGGTCCTCGGTCACTGGCCGAGGACCTGACACAGTCTGCCATAAACCGCCTAATTAGAGAGCCGCCTCTGTTTGCGGTTGTTTGCGGTGCATTAAACGGGGAGTTTGGTCTGTCACTGTGAAGCGGGCGTAACCCTTACACTACCTGATCGATACAACATCATACCTGATGTTTTAAAGCACGTTATTCCAAACAATTTAGGAATGTTAGGTGATTTATGCCCTTTATGGATTAAAACCAGACTCTGCATCAACTATGTAATTTCCATGGGAGTTTTGCCATGGATCCCCCTCCGGCATGCCACAGTCCAGGTGTTAGTCCCCTTGAAACAACTTTTCCATCACTATTGTGGCCAGAAAGAGTCCCTGTGGGTTTTAAAATTCGACTGCCTATTGAAGTCTATGGCAGTTCGCCCGGTTCGCGAACATTTGCGGCAGTTCACGTTCGCGAACCGAAAATTTTATGTTCGCGACATCACTACTTAAGTGTTTACTTGGTGAGAATTGTAGGCAGCAGTGAGTTTATGCTCTGTGTACCGATTCTAATTGACTGTCGACATCTAGTTTTTACAACTTGGAACTGTGCTGCTAACGTTCTGTGTAAAGGATTTCTAAAGCAGAACTCTGAAAGTTTCCTATAGCATTGTTATGTATATATAGAAAAATAACTTTATTAAATTCTAGAGGACTCTGTAATTTTTGCATTCAACGCCTTTGGAAATTTAAGTTAACTTTATGTTGCTAATAACCTAATTGATCATTCATGTACTGAAATTCATACTAATATTTGCTAAGATTCTGACCCTACTGGTGGATAATTTCGGAGTGATTTAGAAACTTTGTTGTGGTTATTGTTGCCATATTTTATACTATTGTTATACCAAATATTCACTGATTATTTGTCATTTACTGTTTGATCCAGCACTTAGAACTGTGTAGCACGGATGACAAATAAGTAACGTATTACCGGTCCTTAGAATGGCCGGATTTAACGTACATAGAATAGTCAAAAATACTAGCCAAGGTCAGGGAACACAGAAAGGTACGCAGCGATAAGGAAAGCAAGGAGTCAGGATACCAGAATATAGAGAAGAGAATAAACAAAGCCAAAGTCAAAAACCAGTTAGAAAACTATAAACAGGAACACGCTCTCGGACAACCACAAGGGAAACCACGACAGGGCACTGAGCAGGATGAGAACTGGGCCTAAATACACCTCCTCTAGATATGATAGGCTGATATTTTTTTTTTTAGCTTTATTACCCCATCAGGAGCCTTAGAAAGCAGTTTCTTATGTTGGCCTAGACCAGATGTAGACCAGATGTTGGCACTCCAGATGTTTTGGACTACATCCCCCATAATGCTGGCAAAGCATCATGGGAGGTGTAGTCCAAAACATCTGCAGTGCTGGAGGTTGCCTATGCCTGGCCTAGAGACTTTCATGAGTCCTTAAGGTCTATGTGTCAAAGATACAGACTGGATTCACACTAGAGAGGAGAAACAACGATTAAACTCTTGCTGGTGGATGTAAGTTGTAGCTACACATTGAACATAAAAATGATTTATCCACTAACCTGTGAATTGTGATAAACTAAATTTTAAAATCTAAGCCAAAACAGCCAAGCTTGAAAAATACCTGTAATATCCCAAATCTACTGCTGAAAACATTGCCGTTTTGCAGGAATGGCAATATTTTCACTGCAGTGTTAACTTGCCTCAAGTGGCACTTCTCACTTCTGTGAAGAGTGGTGTAAAACTCCACTATTTCAATCATGAGGTCTCAGAGACCATCTGATTGGCACAAAGCTCCATTTTGCAGTGAATGTGCCCTATCTTGAAATGCTTACCCAATACTTTCCTATGGGTAAGCACTGGATAGGCTAAGATCATTGATCTTAATGATCTGAGACATAGATGGAGCGTAATGCTGGAACCCAGCTCTGCTAAGGAGCAAAGGTAAAACATCTCACCATTTTATTTCTGTCAGTGAGGACCTGGTCACCTAAACCTAGGGTACTATAGCGTTATGAATACACATTTGTATTCCTAAAGCTATCGTGTCCTTTAATGAAACTAACTTTTCAAAAGAAGGTCAAAACATATATTGGTACATAGCTGGGAGGTGCAACTCCGGATTGTTATACTTTTGTAGACCTTTTACTTATTTGAAATAAATGTGTTTTGCATAAAAAAATTTAAAAAAAAAAAAAAGAGAAAAAAAATAAAAATGTACCTTGTACCTAATAGAGTTAGGTCAATTTGCATACTATAAAATTAATAGTAAAATTTGAAAAAAAAATTGCATTATTTTAAGAGCTGAATTTTATTACAAGAAATAAATTTAACCTCTGGCAACTGAGAAGCAGTTTTCATATTGACATTCTTGGAGAAAAAAAAAAAAGCTGTACAGTTCACAGAAATATCCTTAACTCTTATAATAGTAACTAACTCTGGTAATACATCTATCGCATGTAAAAAATTATGTGATCTCTCATTCCAAGTAATCTCCCTGCAGACAAACTTGCTATTCGTGTAGGGCACCCTGCAGGTCCCCACAGCAGCTACCATTGATCCCACTGCTATAAAGTCAGTCCCAATTAAATGTATCATACAAGAAAGACCAGTTGTATCTGTCCAGCTTGCTGCATATTAATATATGCATGCACTGGTGGGTAGCTAGGATGTGTCCTCTCTTTGTAATCATGAATACGTGACAATTATGGAAGAAGGAAGAACTTGAACAGAGCAGCAAATCTTGGCCATTCTATTTTCACACACACCTTGGTTCCAAAGCTACTGAATTTTAATTAAAGATACACCAAAACAACAGAAACAGTTTTGGTGATCGGTCATGCCCCTACAGTATCCCTGCTCAATTATCAGGCATTTTAGAGCTAAATCACTTTATTTATGCAGCCATTGGCTGAGACTCATATAGCCCCCCTATGAAAAATTCCTGAAAAAAAAAAAGTCTAAATGTTTTTGCTCCCTTGTGCAATGTGTTTAATTTAGAGTAATGCATGGTTAACGGATGTTTTTTTTTTTAGAACACTAAAAATATTAATATTTAAATAAAAAGAATTAGGATTAGAAGTGATATCAAAACAACATGGTCACTACATGGTTTGGAGGCTAACTTTCTGAAGTGCAGCCTGCTATGTGTTACCGGAGTAGAACACACGCCACAACATTTGCAGAATTCTCACTTCAAATATAAAAGACCAGGTTAATAAAAAAAAAAAAAAGGGTTAATTACCTGCTTACTTGCTAATGCTGTCAAAATGCAAAAATGTACTTTTGAACCACTTATGTCATATATATATATGGCACTAAGGATACATGAAAATGGAATTACAAGTGGCCGACCATGCTACATTGAGATAAATGCTGGCCTTACTCCATGCCCAGCTCACTGTTCCCAGAATCAACCTGACAAAAAAAAAGAGTTTTGATGTATATATTTTGTTATGTTTATGTTCTTCTTTGCCAAGCTGGTTGTTTCTACCTACCTAATGTCTCCATCCTGGGTGCTGGAAAACCGCAATGCACCATGCCTGCCCTTTCTTTGGAAGTCTTGGAATTCGAAATGTGCACTAGATCGTAAGTTAGAGCTACTACACATACCTCCCCAGAGATTCAATAGTATCTACTTCAACCAGTAAACAACAGGATAACCTTTTTCAGCATGCAAAGCTTGATTCTTAGGGAGCAGATATGGCACAAATTCAGGATTCCTATGCACTTAATCCATATAGCTGACAAACGTAATTACGTTACTACGATAGATACCTTTGAAGCCAAAGTGACCCCCTTGAACACTACATACTAAAGCATAAAACTCACCTAATATTGCAATATGAAAATGTATTTACATAATACCAAAGGGTTTACCACCCCACATAAGAGGCATATGCTACTAAAAGAAACTCATAAACCGGCAACTGATATTCTGTGCTTCCAAGAAGCACACTTCACACACCAAAACACCTACATTTGGAACCAATAACTACCCTATACAATATCACTCTACATATATTGCAAAGTCATATGAAGCCTAAATCCTTATTCATTAATTAGTAGCATTCAAACTCCTGCACACACATGGCCGTTACTTAATTCTTGTATGCCTCCTCAATGATACCATGTATATCTTGATAATTTATACTCTCCTAATGTCAATCAATGGAATTTCCTGCATCAGGTCTTTACCAAACTCTCCACATTACAGAAAGGAATGATTTTGATATACATTGACATCAATCATATATAGTGATGTCCCGAACGGTTCGCCGCGGACTCATCATTGAGTAAACTTTGACCCTGTACCTCACAGTCAGCAGACACATTCCAGCCAATCAGCAGCAGACCCTCCCTCCCAGACCCTCCCACCTCCTGGACAGCATGCATTTTACATTCATTGTGAAGCTGCATTCTTAGTGAGCTGTCCAGGAGGTGGGAGGGTCTGCTGCTGATTGGCTGGAATGTGTCTGCTGACTGTGAGGTACAGGGTCAAAGTTTACTCAATGAAGAGTCCGCGGCGAACCGTTCGGGACATCACTAATCATATATTATTATATAATCCTTAGTCCCAATTCCCCTAGACACAAATCCCCCAAACCCAGTTGCAAATCCCGGTTCAAATTACTAATTCTTTTTAACTATGATGATCTATATGATGATGTCTGGCACACTATTCATTCTTACAACTCTTCAGTTCACTATTCACACTCCATGGGGGCTTCCTATGACAGATGTCTATATTAAATATTTTGTCTTCGGAGTCTCTGGCAGATCTGAAACAAGTGAACCCAGATATAAGAGGTATTCAATTATGGACATAGACAATTCAAACATAATCTGGATGATATATTAGTTAGTTCAACACACATTCTCACACATCCTTACCCATATTGCACAAAATATTAAAATACTACAGCAAATATTCCTATTACAAATTAAACCTTAATAAAACACAGGGTATGGGTGTGAGAGTGGAGGACAATGTCCTTTTACAGCTTCAAGCAAATTATGGTTATGACTGGAGAACAGACTCAGCAACTGTCCTGGTAGAGTCTCTCCCATACTTATTATCTAACTTGTATCAGCAGAATTATGTTAAATCCAGTAAGTCTATCATTATTCTTCTGATGAGCCCGAAAGGCAAGATACTTACATAGTCTGGCGCATCATGCCTGTAAAAATTACCGTTCATCACAAATTACGTTTATTTCGTACCCTACCAATAAGAGTTCTTTACACATTCTTTCAGATGTTACTATCTTCCATACACAAATGTGTTTGGAATGTTAGATGTCTGAGAATGACTATTAAAACTCCCTATAGCCCAATGCAAACAGGAGCTTTGGGACTCCCCAACATTACACTATTCTACAGAGAAACTATATTAAAGTAGCATAGTAGTAGCACACTCACAATCAGATCAACCACAATGGGTTACAGTGGAAGAACACTGGAAAGAATTTAACTGGTGATCTATGATTTGGCTCCAGAAGAACCAATGCCCCAATTTCCCCACACATACTTCATGCACCACTTTACAGTTATGGCATAAATTCAGACACCTCATCTACCTTCAGTCCCCTATACCATTAGCGACTCCTCTACAATCTGTGATTGCACTTATCCCAGAATTTAACTACAGGGTTTGGGAAAGAGCTAGCATACACTACCTACATATATATTTATTGTAGAGTTGAGCTGGTGCCATTTTCTGACTTGGAAATTTCACATAAAATCATCTCTATTGTGAAATTCTGATATGCTCAGCTAAGATCGTGGTTATCTATGCATTGCAATTAATGTATCATCATGTTAATGAGCAACAGCTGAATTTAAGCGATCATGTATAGGTATAACGCCATCAATTAAAGCTATTTTCTTGATCTAGACCAGGGGTTCTCAACCTTGTCCTCAAGGACCCCCTACCAGTCCAGGGTTTAGGGATTACCTGGGTGTGTCGAAGGTGTTTAGAAAAAAACAAAAAAAAACCAATACCTTAGAGTCTAAGGTGTTTTTTTTCCCTTTTTCTAAACACCTTAGACACACCCAGGTAATCCCCAAATCCTGGACTGGTAGGGGGTCCCGAGGACTGGGTTGAGAACCCCTGATTTAGACGTTACTACCTGGATTCACTAATGTTCATAGCTCATGTCTACAAGTCTATCAATGAATCGGTCAAGATTGGAGAAATATTTGATCTTTCATATTACTAAAGCAGCATTGACCCTACTGGCTCGGAACTGGGCATCCCCAACTTTTCCCTCAAAAGAGAGAGAGTTGATACAACTAGTTTCCCAAAATGATGCATATGAACAATCTTCCAGATATTACATGCTACAAAGTAAATTCTGCCAGGAAGCATGGGAAAAAGGGTATCAAGGAATAGCATC